ATCCTCCCAGAATGCACCATCCCGCGCACCCCCAGCGGTGCACACTCGGCGCTGTCGGTGATCGCTATGTCCTAAGGACACAGCTGATCACATGATGAGGTAAAAGGTCAATCACGGCAGCCTTTTACCATGTGATCAGCTGTGTCCAATGACACAGCAGATTACGGAGTAAATAGAGTTGCCGGTTAATGGCTGCAATTTCCTCAGGCTGTCACAGTGTGAAGAAAGTACTGCCTATAGACTGCAACTGTCACAGAGGACATCTGCTCTGATCATCAGGGCACTGATGATCAGTGCCCAGCAGTGCCGCCCAGTGGTGCCACTCAGCAGTGCCTCCCACCAGTGCCCGGCAGTGCCACCCAGCAGTTGCTCCCAGCAGTGTAGCCAGTCAGTGCTGTCAGTCAGCGTGAGGAAAGTACTGCCAATAAACAGCAACTGTCACAGAGGACATCTGCACTGATCATCAGGGCACTGATGATCAGTGCCCAGCAGTGCCGCCCAACTGTGCCACCCAGCAGTGCCTCCCACCAGTGCCCAGCAGTGCCACCCATCAGTGCTGCCCAGACGTGCCACCCAGCAGTGGCACCCAGCAGTGCCGCCAGTCAGTGGTGTCAGTCAGTGTCGCCCATCAGTGTCCCCTATCTGTGCCCATCAATACCACCTATCAGTGCCCATCATTGCTGCATATCAGTGCAGCATCATCAGTGCCTCCTCATCAATGCCCACTGGTGCCGCCTCATCAGTGCAGCCTATCAGTGCCCATCAGTGCTGCCTATCCATGCCACCTCATCAGTGCCCATCAGTGTTACCTATCAGTGCCTGTCAGTGCTGCCAAATTGTTTGCTCTTTTTTTGTTTATAGTGCAAAAAATAAAACACCCAGTGGCAATTAAATACCACCAAAAGAAAGCTCTATTTGTGTGAAAACAAAATAAAGAATTTCATATGGGTACAGTGTTGCATGACTGCGCAATTGTCAAAGTGTGAGAGCACTGAAAGCTGAAAAATGGCCTGGGCAAGAAGGGGAAAAAAGTGCCCGGTAGGCAAGTGGTTAAACCACCTTTGAACATTTTTAAAATGAATAATCATAGTTGATGTAGAAACACAACTAGATATACCTTGGAATCCATTCTGTGATCTGAGCTTTACCTTAGGTTCACTAAGGTAAAAACACGTTTTCCACAGCGTTTTGCATTTTGCATAAACGCAGTACAGTCCATTTAACATGATTTCCTATAGGACAGGTTCACATCTCCGCGTTTTCACCCAGTGCATTTTTTGGAAAGCATCAGGGACTTTTTTTAACGCAACAAGTTGCATTTTTGGTTCTATAGACTTCAATGGAAATGCTGCAGAAAAGCAAGTAGTGTGTTTTTGCTGTGTTTTTGCCATGTTTTTAATGCGTTTTGCATTTTAAATCTGCCTAGCAACAAGAAATTAAGAAAAAAAAAACACGGAAAACGCATAAAAAACTCATGTGCAAAAACACAAGATGCAATGCAGAAATGGATCAAACACAAAATGCATAGGTGTGAACCTAGACTTAGAGAGTTTTAACATTTTTAAGATTCCTTAGTGACACCTACTGTGAATGAAATAAGTATTTGATCCCCTGCTGATTTTGAATGTTTGCCCACTCACAAAGAAATGATCAGTCTAAAAATCAAATGGTAGGTGTATTGTAACACAGAGACAGAATAGCAACAAAAAATTCAAAAGAAATGCATGTCCAACAAATGATGCACTGATTTGCATGTTCATGAGGGAAATAAGTATTTGATCCCCTTCACAAAACATGACTTAGTACTTGGTGGCAAATCCCTTGTTGGCAATCACAGAGGTCAGATATTTCTTGTAGTTGGCCAACAGGTTTGCACACATCCCAGGAGAGATTTTGGCCCACTCCTCTTGGCAGATCATCTCCAAGTCATTAAGGTTTGGTGGCTGACGTTTGGCAACTTGAACTTTCAGCTCCATCCACAGATTTTCAATCGGATTAAGGTCTAGAGACTGGCTAGACCACTCCAGCACCTTGATGTGCTTCTTCCTGAGCCACTCCTTTGTTGCCTTGGCCGTGTGTTTTGGGTCATTGTCATGCTGGTACACCCATCCACAACCCATTTTCAATGCCCTGGCTGAGGGAAGAAGGTTCTCACCCAAGATTTGACGGTACATTGCCCTGTTCATCGTCCCTTTGATGCGATGCAGTTGTCCTGTCCCATTTGCATGAAAAACACCCCCAAAGCAGAATGTTTCCACCACCATGTTTGACAGTTGGGATGGTGTTCTTGGGGTCATAGGCAGCATTCCTCCTCCTCCAAACACGGCGAGCTGAGTTGATGCCAAAGAGCTCGATTTTGGTCTCATCTGACCACAACACTTTCAACCAGTCCTCCTCTGCATCATTTAAATGTTCAGTGGCAAACTTCAGAGGGGCCTGGACATGTGCTTTCTTGAGCAGAGGAACCTTGCGGGCACTGCAGGATTTCAATCCTGCCTGGAGATCATTGACAAGATCCTCGCATGTAGTTCTGGGATGCTTCCTCACTGTTCTCATGATCATTGACACTCCACGAGGTGAGATCTTGCATGGTGCACCAGACCAAGGGAGACTGACAGTTGTTTTGTGTTTCTTCCATTTGTGAATAATTGCACCAACTGTTGTCACCTTCTCACCAAGCTGCTTGGCGATAGTTTGGTAGCCCAGTCCAGCCTTGTGTAGGTCTACAATCTTGTCCCTGACATCCTTGGACAGCTCTTTGTTCTTTGTCATGGTGGAGAGTTTAGAATCTGAGTGTTTGCTCCTGTGGACAGGTGTCTTTTATACAGGTAACAAAATGAGATTAACAGCACTCCCTTTAAGAGACTTCTTCTAATCTCAGCTTGTTACCTGTATGAAAGACACCTGGTAGCCAGAAATCCTGCTGAATGATAGGGGATCAAATACTTATTTCCCTCATGAACATACAAATCAGTGCATAATTTTTTAGACATGCATTTCTTTTGAATTTGTTGTTGCTATTCTGTCTCTCAGTGTTACAATACACCTACCATTCGATTTTTAGACTGATTATTTCTTTCTGAGTGAGCAAACATTCAAAATCAGCAGGGGATCAAATACGTATTTCCTTCACTGTATATAATTGGAAGGGCTAAGGATAATATGCAACAGCTTTAAATGCTCACAGATGTCTACCAAGCCAGTGCTGTATATCCTGTATGCTTGTGTTTGAGACTTTGCATGTCACATTCTTGTTAGCCTTAGATGTATTAGGGGTTTGCTTTGGGTAAAAACACTATTTAGAAAAAGCACACAAGTGTGCCTTTGATTTCAGTGGTGTAGCTTGACATACCTGGGATCAAGTGCAAAATATGTTCTAGGGCTCCTTGTTTCCCCCTGGGCCTAATATGATCACCTCTATACTCCCTGGACCTAAAACCCACAATCTTCATAACACCTCTATTGCAAATCCTATAACCTCCTTTTTGCTCTGTGATGTTTTTTATAGATCATATTTACAGTTTAAAGCTTCATTCACACTTGTGCGACTTCAAATCATATGATTTTCATTGCGACTTTACAGTGTGACCTGATGCAACTTTGACGTGACTTTTATGCGAATTTGACGTGACTTTAACGTGACTTTGGTACGACTTTGCTTTGACCAAGGATGATTGTGCTGTTCAAAGTTGCATATATATCATTCAGGTGCAACTTTCGTGCAGCTTTGGAGGTTTTACATGGAAGTCCATGGCCCTCACATGAAAGTAGGACCAAAGTAGCGCAGGAACTACTTTCATGTCACTGCGACTTGAAGTCGCACACATATGAATGGTACTGATTAGGAAACATGGACTACGACTTGGGGGTCCAAAGTCACATGACAAGTCACATAAGTGTGAATGGGCTCTTATAGCATTTTACTAGTGTTCATATTGCGTATGTTTAGTTGGTATTGTCTCATCACACCATTGCTGCCTCTCTATGGCACTGATCGTAACTGACCATCTCAAGATATCAACGTAGGAAAGATCAAAGCAATGTTCATTCTGGATATCTAATCAAATTTATATCATGTCAAATATATATAAATCATATAATTTGAGCGTCAGAAACCACAAATGGCAAATAGAAGATAGTTTTTTACATCTTCTATCTGTTGCCTTAAACCAGAGGTCTCCAAACCTTCTAAACAAAGTCCCAGTTTACTGTTCTTCAGGAATTAGGGGGTTGGTCTGTGGCCTTTGGGAGTTGAAATTGTTCTATTGTCAGTGGGAGCAAACAATGCATCTTTGGTATTAGGGGGAAGAATAGTGCCCTGTGACGGAGCGTAGGCAGGACAGAACACACAGAGTAGATTTCAAACGCACAAAGCTTTATTGAGACACACAGATGACAGTCACTCAATAGAGGGAATCGCAGGGAGGGGGAATTTGCCAGTAAAGGGTAGCAAGGAGGGGTCAATCACTTATAGTCCAACACCGAGAGCCAAGGAAGTGTCTCTGTAGCAGTTGTAATCCAACGGGGGGGGAATTCAGTATGGCAACAGTTCAGGTAAAACAGGGAGGAAGCATGTACTCACAGATCCGACAGGGTGCCTGGTCTCCCAGGGGTAAAAGCGGAACACAGGTACCTGTTGGAGTCCGGACCATGCGGGTGGTCTCCCCGTTTGGGCTAAGTCCTCAGGCAGCTGGCAGGCAATCTCTCCCCTGTGCTGGGGGGTCTCTGGCAATCCTTCTCCTGGACTGGGGGTCTCTGGCACTGGTAGGCAACCTCTGGCAAACTCTCCCCTATGCTGGGGGGTCTCTGGCAATCCTTCCCCTGGACTGGGGGCCTCTGGCACTTCCCCTTTTGGATGGAGCTCTCCTTTAACCACCTCCCGCCCGCCATACATATGACGGGTGCAAGGTTGTTCTCTCGTTCTGGGAGGATGTCATATGACGTTCTCCCGTTCTCACTGCGCATGCGTGGCTTAAGGAGTGCGCAGCGTGGCGATTGGCGGTGCTCTGTGTCCCTCGGACACAGCGGATCACCGATCATGGAAAGAGCCGAAGATGTCAGCTCGGTCATGTGATCAGCTGTGTCCAATCACAGCTGATCACATGTAAAAAGGGAAATGCCGGTTATCGGCATTTCTTTCCTCTCGAGCTGTCACACTGACAGCTCGAGAGGAGAGGAGAGCCGGTAATCGGCTTTCTGCGGAGGGGACGTGTACACTGATCATCAGAGCACTGATGATCAGTGTAGCCCCAGCAGTGCCACCTGTCAGTGTCCATCAGTGCCTTATGTCAGTGCTCATCAGTGCCTTGTGCCAGTTCCCATCAGTGTCACATCAGTGCCACATATCAGTGCCTACCAGTGCATATCAATGCCACATATCAGTGCCCATCTGAGCTGCCTTTCAGTGTCACTCATCAGTGCCAGTCAGTGCCACCTATTAATGCCAATCAGTGCTGCCAATCAGTGCCACATATCAGTGCCAGTCAGTGCTGCCTATCAGTGCCAGTCAGTGCTGCCTATCAGTGCGCATCAGTGCCACCTGTCAGTGCCACCTAACAGTGCCGCCTATCAGTGCCAGTCAGTGCCGCCTATCAGTTCCAGTCAGTGCTGCCTATTAGTGCCAGTCAGTGCCGCCTATCAGTGCTGCCTATCAGTGCCATATATCAGTGCCATGTATCAGTGATGCCTGTCAATGCTCATCAGTGCCATCTACCAGTGCCTCCTCATCAGTGCCCATCAGTGCCACCTATCAGTGCCCATCAGTGCAGCCTATCAGTGCCCATCACTGCAGCCTCATTAGCGCACATCAGTGAAGGAGAAAAATCACTTATTTATAAAATTTTATAACAAAAACTAAGAAAAAACATTTTTTTACAAAATTTTCAGTGGTTTTTTGGTTTGTTTAAGAAAAAAGTAAAAACCCAGAGGTAATTAAATACCACCAAAACAAAGCTCTATCTGTCACAAAAAAAATGCTAAAAATTTCATATGGGAACAGTGTTGTTTGACCGCGCAATTGTCATTTAAAGTACGACAGCGCTGAAAGCTGGAAATTGGCCTGGGCAGGAAGGGGGTATAAGTGCCCTGTAGGCTAGCGGTTAAATTGGTTTTCAAATTTTTGTTCGATTTTGTTTTTTAATTCAAATTTGTTTTCTAATCAAATTTTGGCCGAATTTTGTTTCGTTATTTCGGATTCATTTAAATTCCTTATTTTTGCTATTTGGAATTCTGATAAATCTGAATCTCCGAACAACGAAAAAATTTGTCCAAAATTCGATTTGGAATGAAATGAACTGCACATGTCTAGGATCATGTGAGTCTTTGTAACCAGCCTGGAGACATTTGAAAAATGTAAGTATAAAAAAGCATAAAGATACAGCCAGACGGGGGGAATTAGCCTGAAATTTGAATTTAGCCTGGGTTCACACTTGTGCAGTGCAACATACCGCATGTGATTTGCACAGGAACCGCACCGCTTTCCTGTGCAAATCACATGCGAATTCTGTGCAGTGCAATTTGAGCCATACTACATTTTGTATGGCTCAAATCGCACTACTTTTGCACCAACAAGGTGCAGGACCCTTTTTTTGGTCTGCACTAGAATCAGGTCACATGGGTGTTCACACTTATGTGATCCAATTCTGCACATCGGACCGCTTTTTGTAAACTGGTTTCGGGGGGGGGCCGTTAACTTAACATACACATGCACAATGGTTCATGTGAACAGAGTCCAATTATGATGCTGTGCAGAAATCACACAGAAACCAGTGCAAATTGCGCACCGAATCAGTATGAACCCAGGCTAAAGAGAGTTTTTACTCACCTTACTCCGGGGTTGACTTCACCAATGGCAAATATACTGTGCACATTGCAAATGGAGTTGCACTCTGTAGGTTCAACAGAACAAACACAAGGGGGAACCACTCTAAATGCAGCATAAAAGCACTTTAATAACATCAAAAGCCAAATGTAAACTCACATGAATACGAAAAACTGTGCTTATCTGAACTGGTAAAGAGAACCAGAGGCTGGTCAACCAGGGATATGTACAACAGTATCTGCCAGCAGAGGCAGAAAATCCAGGAGCCATGTTCAGCTGAAGAAGTAAGTTGGGAGAACCATCATAGAGCGTGGAACTAGAAGTGGCATCCCAGTGGGGAAGGGGCCATAATCATGGTAGCATGTTTCAAAGCACTCAGGCTTCTTTTTCTTTGGTTTGAGAAATCAGCCTGATTGTTTTGAAATGCGTTACCATGGTTATGGTCCCTCCCCTGGCGTGACGTCACTTCCGTCTCTTCGCTCCTCGGTGGTACTCTCCACTTCCAGGTTTGGCTAAACATGGCTTTTCTATCTTAGCTGGCAGCTGCTGATGTACATCTCCTGGGTTGACTGGCTTCCAGTTCTCTTTAGCACTTCAGATAAGCTAAATTTTCCTTATTTATGTGAGTTTGCATTTGGCTCTTGATTTTATTACAATGTTTTTATACTGCACTTAGGTTGGCGCCCCTTGTGTTTGTTCTGTTGCATTTTAGAGATTTGTTCCTATCTGAAGGAGCAGCCTTTCTGAGTGCACATTCTGTTTACAAGATGGATCGTTGTTGTCACGTACCTGATGGAAGTCTGAATTGACGAGGTCAGCCTCTCTTGTATCTCCAACCCAGGCCCCACTGAAGGTGGAACAGATGGTGCCGAGGGACAGGAGAAACGCGAATGACTGCAGATATTGATTGCAGAACTTGCAGCTGGAGGTGTAACCTCGAAAAATCAAGCAGGGCATCCAGTCAGAAACAGAGGAGATGCCGGAACGGCTAGCTGAGGTTAAGGAAGCACTCCACTGGAGCTGCAAAATCTGGGTACGTGGCTTGCCGGAACTTCTGATAAGTGTGAGGCCGGAACACACCGTGACAACCAGAGCTGATATAACAGATAGCCAGGACAAGCACTCAACAGGACTGTAAAGCCACACTGGAGCCGGAAGCGTAGTCAGAGTAATAGCCAGGGTCAGCAACGAGCAGACGATGAGGTACCGGAACATCAGACAGGGACGAGGTCAGGAGGAAGCCAGGATCAGAAACTGATGAGCAGAAGCATATACAGAATCCAAGAGCATTTCAATGGCAAGCCGGGTCAGTAACGGATACACACAGGATACAGCAGGACACAGGGAAATAGCTGAAGACCAGTCAGCACTGACAGAGAGTAAGAGCCTCCTTTAAATAGTCAGTCTGGCGCCAGAAACTGTGGGCATGCTCCCACATGCGTGCATCCACGTGCGCACATTCATGCCTGCATGCGCGAGCATATGCTCATTTTTATTAGCAATGCGCCCATGCTCATTTCTATGAACCAGTCGCCGTACAGGAATTCCCTTACAGTTGTGGACTCACCATAGATTTGTTGGTTTTTTAATCCTTCCTAATGTTATTATTCAGTATTCCCCCTCCCAGCATTTTATGTATGTATACCTACCCACAGGGGAGTACATTTTTGTTAACTGCACCTTGAATTGGGATTCATTCACAAAGGGGTATTATCCACTGCAAGAAAAATAACACTCATCTTTTTTAAAACATGTTTTGGCATTCACTAAAAAATGCTTTTAAAATACCACATTCTGTATTTTTTTCAAAATATGCTGTATTTATCTCAGGAAACCATGCAGTATTTTATTTCATGCGATACCCAATGGTATGGATACAGTGGAGAAGAATTAGAAATTCTGTCAGGTTTTATTGCTAATAAAGAGGTAAAATGGTTTAAACCATAGAAATATGCCAACTCAAGTGCGGTCCCTGCAGCATATGTATTAACAGCTTGCCGTCCATCCTATAGCAGAAACCGTGCTACAGGGTGGCACGTGTTCGCAAAATCACTTATATATACGTGATTTTGCAGCTCCGGGTAGGGGACACGCACCCTTCCCGCTCCGCCATTCGTGGCCTCGACTGTCAATCACTGGGTCTCGGCCTGTGATTACTCGCCAGCACCCTGTAATTGCCAAGTAATACCAATGGGGAGAGAGACCTGTATGTAAGTAATACAGTTTTCTCCCCTGTCAGCTCCTGCACACTGCTTTGTATGGCTCTGCATAGCAGTGAAGCACACACACAGCACATATAGGAAACAGCACACAGTTAACCCTTTGATCGCTCCAGATGTTAACGCCTTCCTGCCCAGTGACATTAGTACAGTGTCATGCCATTAGTACAGTGTCAGTGCCATTAGTACAGTGTCAGTGCTAAAACTTTTTTCTAGTTTTGGATGATCAGTGCTATTTATTAGCGCTGATCACTGTATTGGTGTCACTGGGGATGTCAGTGACACCAAGTCAGTTCCCCCCAGTGTCAGAATACCAGCTGCAGTCCCACTATAAGTCGTTGATCACCACCATTACTAGTAAAAAAAAAAAAAAAATTCCAGTATCTATACCGCCATTTGTAAATGCTATAACTTTCATGTAAACATATTAATTTACACGTATTGGCATTTTTTTTTTAAGCAAAGACATAATACATAATACGTTTTGGCCTACATTTATGACAAAACTTGATTTTTTAAATTTTATTACTGGACATTTTTAATAGCAAAAATGTTTCTCAAAATTGTCGGTCTTCTTTTTTATAGCGCAAAAAAAAATGTAAAAACGCACAGGTGTTCAAATACCACCGAAAGAAAGCTCTATTTGTTGGAAAAAAAGGATGTAAATTTCATTTGAGTGCATCATTGCATGACAGCGCAATTGTCAGTTAAATTAATGCAGCAAAAAATGGCCTGGTCAGGAAGGGGAGTAAATCTTCTGGAGGGCAAGTGGTTAATACCAAAAGAAAAAAGGTTACAGGATTACCAGTCAAAGGGAGGCGGCTTTCACAGGACACACAGTGTATGAAAAACAACAAAGTTAAATTAAGTAAATACAAAATATCTTTCTAAATGTCAGATATTGAAGAAAAATAGTGTCAAAAATCACACACATATATAAATACTCTTCTTCCACCAATACAAAAGACAATGTTGTCTTTTTTATTGGTGGAAGAAGGGTATTTATATACTATTGTCATTAAATATTTGACAATTAGAAAGATATTTTGTATTTACTTAAAGTATAACTAAAGGAAAAACTTTTTTCTAGTTTTGGATAGGGTGGAGAGATATTAGAACACCTATTAGGTTTTTGCTGCTGTAGGGAGATTCACCCTCTCTATTTGTCCTGTTTACCATTGTCAATAAAAGTGAAATGAAAAGAAAATCCCAAAGTTTGGGTTGTCCCAAGGGAGACATCTTCCAATGAGGACACAGATGGCAAGAAAAAAACTGACAGGGGTTATAACTGTCCATTACTCTATCCAAAATGAGAAATAACGTTTTATCTTTAGTTACACTTTCAAACAGCCTTTTTCAACATTTTCAAAACAGAAGAACCCTTGAAATATTTTTCCAGTCTCAGGAACTCCCTGGGTAATGTGTTAGGAACGTAAGGATGCCCCCATCATTTGAAGGAAATGAAAATGAACCTACAGAGGACTGCATTCAAAGACACCTTGAAAATCAAAGTGAAAAAATG